CCCCAGCAGCCTACAACTATTGCAGTGTAACTAAGGGAGGATTCAGGGTCACCTGATCCAGCCCCAACTATATGCCTTATCAAAAAGGAAAGTTTTAAGCCTAATCTTAAAAGTAGAGAGGGTGTCTTTCTCCCAAATTCAAACTGGAAGCTTCTTTCACAGAAGAGGGGCCTGAAAACTGAAAGCTCTGCCTCCCTTTCTACTTTTAAATACTCTAGGAACCACAAGTAAGCCTGCATTCTGAGGGTGAAAAGCTCTAATGGGGTGATATGGTACTATAAAGTCATTGAAATAAGATGGGGCCTGATTATTCAATACTTTATATGTGAAGAGCAGGATTTTAAATTCGATTCTGGATGTAACAGGGAGCCAATGAAGGGAAGCCAATGTGGGAGAAATACGCTTTCTTTCTAGTCCCTGTCAGCACTTCGGATCAACTGAAGGTTGATAATAATGAATTAGAGTAGTCCAGCCTAGAAGTAATACTAAGTAATGCCTATGACCTAGTTCTTTGGCATCACTCTAACACAGGGTGTTTCTAATTTTAGAGATATTGCACAATTGGAAGAACTCAGTCCTACATATTTCTTTAATATGCACATTGAATGGCATATCCTGGTCAAGAATGAGTCCAAGATTTTCAGGGCCAAGTGCAATAACCTCAGTTTTATCTAAACAGAATTGGTCCTAGCACTGAACCCTGTGAAACTCCATAATTAACCTTAGTGTGTGAAGAGGACTCTCCATTTACATGAACAAACTGGAGTCTATTAGGTACGATTCAAACCACTGCAGCACTGTACCTTTAATTGCTACTGCATGCTCTAATCGCTGTAATAAAGTTTTAGGGTCGACAGGATCAAACGCTGCACTGAGGTCTAGCAGGAAAAGCTAAGAGACGAGTCCACTTCTAAGGCAATTAGAAGATCATTTGTAACCTTCACTAAAGCGTTTTTTTAAAATTACCTCCTGCCAGGTTGAAGGCCAGTGGTACATAGCCGATTATTAGAGAGAGGTTGACCATATTTAAGACTGAAACATTAATTATTGGTGGGACTTCTCTGAGCAGTCTTGAATGGGGTCTAAAAGACATGTTGATGCTTTGGAGGAAGTAATAACTGAAGTCAGCTGTACATAATGTTACGTCTGTGAGATGGTTACGAGTGACTTTTTCTCTAATGTTTAAAATTTTATTTGTGAAGAAATTCATGAAGTTCTTACTAGTTAACTTTTGCTTAAAGGAATGCTACAGGTGGTAGAGCAGATCACCTACTAATCAGGAGACTGGTGCTTCAATCCCTATCTGCTCCAGTCTGCATGCCAAATATCCTTGTGCATGATACTGACCTCAAGTTGCTTTCCAATGCATCCATCGGAGTATGAATGCACAAGAATGTTAAATAGAAAGCACTTAAGGAGTAGAAAAAAGTGCTTGACCGAATGAGGGTGAATGAGTTTTTTTTTATTTTTTTAAAGTGGTTTTAGAGTAGAGTTTAGAGTTTTCAGAGTAGAAAAGTGCTACATAAGAACCAGTCCATTTACCATTTCCCCTGGTCCTTACTGAGTTGTCTGCTTTAGGTCTGCGTCTGAGAGTTATACCAGGGAGTCAAGTACTTCTGGTTTGAGCCTTTCTTTTTCAGAAGAGCTACAGTATCCAGAGGTGTTCGCAGTGAAGAAGTGAAATTATTAACAAGATAATCAACCTCTATGGGAGTAGCGTTCAGGTAGCTGCTCTGCTCTGTTGGCACCAGGCGTAGAAGAAGAGAATAGTAGATGAATTACTTCCTTAAACTTAGTTACAGCACTTTTAGAAAGACATCTACTGAGATGAAATCTATTCCCCCCTGCTCTATAATCCACCATTGTAAATGTAAAGTTATGTGGAAATGTTCAGTTTCTGTGCCATATGTGAGAACAAGATCTAGAGTGTGAGTGGTGGGTGGGTTCTTTTACATTTTGAAAGAAGTCAATCGAGTCTAATGATCGATTACATGCCTTGTTGAGGCTGTCAGTATCTACACTGATGTTAAATCACCCACAATAATTATTTTATCTGAGCTGAGCACTAAATCAGATTAAAAACAGGGTCTTTGGCTAATTAACGACTGGAGTGGAAGATTGCTGCCATTTATTTAAACTAATATAATCATCCTGCTGTAAACAGGTTTCTATAAGGCAGAGTAAATCAATTTGTTGATCAATTTTTAATAAAATGGGAGAGAGAGACCTGAAGTTTAATAATCCACACTTCACTGTTTTATTCTTTGGTGCAGTTGTGGATACTGAATTGTTCTTTCTCTCGTCTCTAAACTGTTTTTTGCTGATGATTGTTTTCTTGTTGATTAAAAAAAGAAAATATATTAAGTATATCTGTCTGTTGCTATAGTATGCGAGCTCTCGAATGTCGTTTTAATTTTTACCATCTGCAGCGTGTGTCACTTGGGATGCTGAACTACCTGCGCTCTGTGGAAAGGACTTTGACCTTTGACCTGGCAGGTTTGCAGCTAGAAGGACAGGTGCTGAGCAGCACAGCGGAGGAGACGGGTTGGATGAATGTAGCCAGAGGAGGAAAAGGAGAGGCAGGTGGTCTCGGCTCTGTCCAGTATATTCACAGCACTCCTGTCGATTACAAGGTAAAAACGTATATCCTCTTGCTTCAAGTGAATTTAAAAAAATTGGTTTAACTGAGAATCCAGACATTGCTTCTTACAACTGTCTAGGTCCACTGCTCAGAGTTCATGGAGTTTGCAGAGGTGGAGAATCGTCATGATTTTTACACCTCTGAGGTTCGTTACATCCACACTCAGGACCCCAGAGGGTTTTACATCATGTACGACGCTGCTCTGCAGGACCTTGTAGAGCTGATGAATGAGCTTCTCCTCATCGGCTCGCACTTCATCCACAGAAACACGATCAAACAAATTGGAAAAACTGAGGGAGTGTCAGCCTCGACAGTAGATTTCAACTCCTGGGCTGGGACAGATGTTGACCGCATTGCTTTGCTTCTCAATTTGTGGGCATGTGAGACTGAGTTCATGGAGAGTAAAGTCCAGGTAGATTGATGGAAAAGAGGATTTGATTTCTTTTGGCTCAGTCATTTCCTGTTAGCATTGAACTTTATAGAACTACGACTGACATACTGTTACAACTGACTAACTGTGCACTTCTGTGTTTCTGCAGCTTTTAAACTGTTATTATGAAGCCTACCAGCATGCAGTGGGCACAGAGGAGAGGTTTGCATTGGCCCAAGTTATCACTGACATCATGCACAGGAAGCCACAGCTGGACCTGAACCAGGATAACTATTTTCAGGCCTACAGGACTGAGATCAGCTGCATGCAAAGCCACCAGCGGCTGATTCGAGACATTCTGGACAATCAGGTAAACACTAAATGATGCATTGGATTGTATTTACATGTGAAGCTGTGCAATAACTGTGGTCTGTACATGAGACACACCACAGTTATATGTTGTGGTTATGTTGTTCCTCTGAACAGATAGAGAGACAGCGACTGTACCTTCAGTGCATCTGGAGAAATGATCACAAAGGCTTTATAACCAGCTATGGTCGTCCACCCAACTATGTTCCCCAATATTTGGTCTCACTTGGAGGCACGAGGCAAGTTAAAACAGCTGTGGAAGACTTTATACTATAAAACATAATTATTTTCTTCTTTTAATGCTCATGTTTTTCCCTCCTTGCGTCCTTTTGGGTTTTTTTGGTTTTTTTTGCAGGCCTGCTCTGATGAACGTATTCCTGCTAGAAGTTCACCCATCACTCTGTCTGGCCTCTGCAGTCTATCACGGATTGGTTCAGGCTCACACTGAACTATGTCAGTTGCACCGAGCCACGAGCATCACTGACAAACTCCACCTCGAACACAACCTTTTAGAGCAGGCACTGAAAATCTGGAACAACCAGACTTCACCAGGAGCCTCCTACAGCTCACAAATACAAAGAGATGTACATTCTTGTTCAGAGTATGTTCAGATTACTGTGTACGAAAAAATAAGCCATTTCACTAAATCCCAGTTTCTGTTGCTCTCAGTTGTTCTCAGACGTGTTTATTGAGGATCCAATTTTGGTCCAGAAGTTGGGCCTGTCACTAGTAAAAGCTGCAGAGGAGAGGGACATGAAGCAAGGACCAGACAAGCTGATAGACTGTGCTGTAGAAACATTGTCCATGCTGCTGGAGCTTATGAGCATCCGCCATCGCCTGCTGGAATCTGCCTCAGAGACGGCACATCTGGCACAGTTAAGAAAACACTCACAGCAGAGGGGCAGGGGTATTTACAATAGGTTCTGGACCTTTTATTTAACTCCTTTTTTCCCCCCATGAAGATCGCATTTGACAAAGTCCTTTGTACCCTTAGTAACAAGTTTTGACACCTCACTATGCATCAATAAAGAGGTGGTTTGCTAAATATTAAACAGTTTGCAGGTTTTTCAGCCAATCATCAAGTTCTGATGAAAACCCAGTTGTTTTGTTCTATAAACATACCTGACATATAACAAACTACTCAGTTCAGAAATGAGCTTCAAAGGTTACTTCAAAGAGTTATTATATTTACACCCAAACATATCCAGCTGCAACCTAACACATTTAAGTTTTATATAGCATGATAACACAAGCAACTTTCCACTTTTAATTTCCTACATTTTTACATTTCATACTTCTCTGTCGCACCTCCTTCACTACATCCACGGCTTTTCTTCCTCTTCCTCTTTCCGTCTGGCAGCTCCAAGTTCAACACCTTTTATCCAATATATCCACTATACCAATTCTGCACATTTCCAAACCATCTCGTCCTTTTTTTTTTTTTAACTCTTTCTCCAAACCGGTGCTGTCCCTCTGATGTAGTCATGTTTATTCTTGTCCATGCTGGTCTCTCCCAATGGAAATCTTGACATTTTCAGCTCTGCCTGCTGTCTTTTTTGTCAGTGCCAACATCCTCAAACTATACATCACTTGTTAATTTTGTAAATTTTCCCTTTCACTCTTGATGCTATCCTGTCACTGACATTTGTCTTCACCCACTGCACCTTTTTCTTTTAGCAAAAAAAAGTTTCTGGAACAATTTTAAAGTTGTTTAAAACTTTAAACCCTCCCAGGATAAGAAGAATCCAGTTTCTATTAAACTACAGCTGTTGTTAGGTTATACTGGCTCTTTGCTGATATGTTAACATTTCTGTGCAGCCAGGATTAACCAGTTTGAATTAAATGAGTAATGTAACGTAACATTTTTTCTCAGGCTGTACAGAAATGTGGCCTTAGAGTTCGGCTTTGAGGAGTTCCACCTGTATCTGAGGCCGCTGCAGTTTGAGTGTACTGATCAGAAAGTCAGAGTCCAGCAGAGGCCTTTTTGTATCACAGAAATCCTGGAGGACGACAGCTGTGTGGACAGGTAAAACATAACTACATCTGATTTTCCAAATAAATCTTCATTTTCATAATAGCTGAAAGCTGGAATTTTATTCTCTTTAACTAAAAAGTCTGCTGTATATTAAAAACCAGACATGTTTGAGAGAAGCTGTCAAAAAGATGTTAGGACTTCTCTTAAGCAATCTAGCAATGTCTATTATTTCAGCTTCTTTACAAAAGCAGTAAACTGTGTTTGAAAGAAAATTAAAGAGGACTTTCTGCTGCAGGCTCATCCCATCCCATCTGCCTCTGAGCATCCAGGAACTGGACGAGAACCAGATCAGATTTAGCTTCAGCTCAGAGGAAGCAGTTATCCATGTGAGATTATAGTAAACATTAAGGCTTATCAGAAAATAAATTAATACACACAAATACTTTCATGTGTTGCTTTTCCTAGCTTATGAACAGACAGAGTATCAAGAACCTCCAGGTGGCGTTGGCCTGTCAGGTTACACAGAAGAACGCCTTGACGAGTGCGGTCAAACTGGCTCGACTTTGTCTTTGGGCAGAAAGTGACTCATCTTCAGCCGAGGTTTGTGTTGCTCTCTGGTGAAAAGTAATTTCAACTTGGAGTATTTGCCTTTCCTGTGAAGAACCTGTCAAAATAACAGTCTTAATGACTTCACACTGGACTTCAAATACATGATGGGACTGAATGGGCATTGTTGTGCAGGACATCAAATGAAATCATCCTGATCAGACGTTCCCTGGTCGAAATTATGTTCTAGATCCACAGGCAATAAAAAGAAAAGCCTCAATGTGTGTGTGAAATATTAACTGTATGTGTGCTCTGTATGTGGATGGAATTGGGATAAAATAAACATCTGTTTTGTTTTGGCATACATTTTTATGGTTGTTGATTTGAAAACTGCACAATACGGTGGATCCATTGGGCTGGAAAACACAGGCTGAGTAACAATAATATGAATACTGCCTAAGGGTTAGTTAGGTCCAACATCTGAGAATAATAGTGTTTACATGCTGATTTATTGGTAATAGCATGTATTTATGACTCTTTGTACTGAACAAAAGAGTCTGAATACTGTGGTGTTATTTTTTTAATGCTTTTATATAAACACACAGCTGTTGAAATATTTTTCTTATCTTCTTTATTAATCTCAGAGGGAAGACAAAGATGTAACATGCAACTCTGGCTCTGGCAGCCACACAGGCGGCCTGCAGGAACAATATAAATCTTTTCACTCCAAACCCTCCACAGGAACTTCCACAAAAAAGCGGTATTGACTTACAGGACAAACTACACCAGTAGTGATTAACACTTTTTTTTTTTTTTTTTTGCTCTTTATGATATAAAATCTCATTTGTTCCTTCAGGGTGATGGGCGCATTTGTGTCCATCCAGCTGGAAAAAGTGGGTCTGCGTGACGAGATGCTGAATTCATTTGTGAAGAAGAAACAGGCCGTTGGGGGGTTCCTAAAAACCCCGGTGAGATGCACGCAGGTGGCTGAGCAGGATGATAAATGTGATTGGCTGCTCATGAAGTAAAATTAATTTGTCTCACTGTGCAGGAGGAGGCTGCAAAGATCAAAAGGGAGCTCATAATCGACTTTCTCAGGAAGTGTGTTCTCTGGCATCCTTTTTTTGTTAAAACAGACAACCTGAGCTTTACTGAGTTTTTTTCTATGATAGTAAGGTTCTTCAAAATGTTTTTTCTCAGATTCAGCACACAAATGTCTATGCACTGTGTGAGAGCTCAGATTGTTGGATATTACCACAATCTGACCTTTCTCTTGGAAGACATTCCCTACATTCGTCAGTCCTACTTCATGATTGGACAGCCGGTTGCTGATCGTTGTTCTGACCCCAGGTACAACCTCTAAGCATTAAAGAGTGATTATCCACGTTTTATTTGTGTCCTGGTTATAGTACAGTGAAACTTGTTTAAAGAATTTGAGCCAAAATGCCGAGTTTGTGCATTTTGGTACAGATGTTTCTTCAGTTGTATCCGGGGAAGATTTTCAAACCAAGCTGTCTCCCAAACAGGATTTTTCAGCAGTTGTTGTGTGCAGATGGAAGAACTCTCCTCAACCTCTGGTACATCCCCCACTTCACTGAAGTGCTTCGCATGTTCAAAACACTTAATGTTTCGGTGAGACACTTAAACTTGTCACTGAGACTAATATTACAGCAGGTCACAGGGTGATAACTTTAGCTTTCAGTTTCTCATGCCATGAACTAATTTTAGAGCAGATCTGTTTTTGTTCTTCACCGTGTTGGTGGAGGAGAGACGCATGTTAACACTTTCTTTCTCTGGCCTTTAACTCTCTTCTGGTCTGATTTCATTAGGCATGTGATGAGGCTCTCCGTCACACTCTGCAGATCGTGTCAGCTCTTCATGGCATCATTCATTACCTGATCAGCTTCTCCAAACTGGGAAACAGACAAGACTCTTTAAGATGGGGGAGAGGACATGATGCAGCAGGGTCACTTCTGGCGGCTGACTGGGGAGGCGCTGAAAGCATCGGTAGGTTTATTTTATAAATGAAGCGTTCCAAAAGAATTGTAGTAATGGTAATGTTTAGGGATCTTTCATGCAATGCTGAGAGTGAATAGGATGGAATGACTCAAAATTGACACATGACAGAATAAATACATCTTTTTTTAATGTAAAAATTTGGTTTGTTCTGACATGACAGCATCACACAGTTGCTGCAGATTTATTGGCTGCACGTCCATGATGTGAATCTCCCAATGCACCACATCCCAAAAGTGCTCCATAGAACTGAGATCTGGTGACTGCGGATGCATGAAATATTATTTTTTCCATTCTTAGATAAGAGGAGAGAGAGTTACTTTTGCCTTCCTATCGGTTCAGACTGAACTGGCCATACAACTTTCATATTCATTTAACCATCTTTGCATTTCAGGTATAACCAGGGACCAGGTGATATAGTAGGAAAGAAAAACCTGGATTTGGACAGCCATTCACACATTTGTTTTTTCCTCTCTGGGTGCTGTACAGGAACAGAGTTGCAGGAGCTCCAGCAGCAGGTTGATCATCTCTCTGATCCCAGCAACCTGGAGTCTGTCGGCCGCCTGCTGCAGCTGCGCAGGCAGGTCCTCCTGCTGCAGTTTGATACTGCTGTCAGAATCTTTGTCAGGTCAGCGGTGAAATCGTCACTTCCCTCAGCTGTCTGCTACCATACTGACACTTTCTCCATGACAAAGATATTTAAAGGCTGTTTTACTTTTTTCTTTTCTGTGTTTGGTTTTATGGTTTCCTTTGTTATGATGCAGTTTTCATTGATTTAAAAAAAATACCAGCATTTAATAGAAAACATTTTCAAATTTTGCAAAAGAAACATGCTTTAAAAAAATAGTGTATAATATTTTAAAAACATAAAGAAAAGTATGGCTTAAATTTAGTGATTAGTTCATGTTGATGCGTTTTCCACTGCTGGGTGATGTGAGGTGTTTGGCCAATTCAAATATTTCAACAACTCAAAGCTTTTGCGGTATCAGTTTTTGTTTTTTGTTTTTTCCAGTTACTCGCCTGAAGTTTCCCTCCATCACTCTTCTATCACAGCTTAATAAACCTTAATAATGAAAGTATGTTTATCATGTCTAGGGAGGCTTTCCTCTCCTCTGGTGATGTTACTTCCTGCCAGAGTGTAAATGACAACATGGCGAACGCTCTCCCTCCAATGATTGGCTGCATCCAGGCTGACGTCTTCAGTCTCACGCTGCCCGTTCCTCAACCTTTGGAGAATCAAGGCTGTCAGGTGGTGACCTCATATAATTATTTTAGAAAACCATCCTAACATATGTTTTCAAAAAACATGAAAACACTTGAGAGGATGAGAGGAAATGTGCTCTGTCACGTCATCTTTCTGTGCCTTTGTCTGCTGCAGGCACAGAGGATGTATCCATGGAGGAGTTTCATAGCCTGTCATGGACTGCTCCCTCTTCATGTTTGGGATGTCCCACCTACTGAACACTGCATGCAGGTTCACCACCTCATATGCTTTTTTTTTCACCTGTTAATGGTGCTGATGAGACTTGGTAGATTTGGTCTTGTGTATGAATCATGTTTCCAACCAAAAATATATTTTGCCATCAATATGTCATAATTCTGGAAGTTTCTTCCTGTTAAAAGGAGTTTTTCCTTCCCACTTTCACCAAGTGCTTGCTCATATGGGTTTTGTGATTGTTTGGATCTTCTCTGGATTATTGTGGAGACTTTACATTAAAATATGAAGCACACTGAGGTGACTGCTGTTGTGGTGTGACACTAAACAGATGGGACCTCAGTATTGTTATCATTAAGAGAAAGATGCTCTCAAGTAAATTCATGATCATCCGCTAAAAAGAAAGTCGTTGTATTTCGTATCTTTATTTATACAAATATGGGTGCGGACTTCTTTCTTGTATTGTCCTTAACCAACTACACAGCTTTGTTTGTTTTGGGGTTTTTTAATGCATCGTTAAACTCTCCCAGTGATAGTTAAAAAGATTTCATGGTTATTTGCAGCTCTGTTTGAGCAGCCTGAGCAGTCGCAGCAGACTGCAGGCCAATGCTGCAATCCTCGGGGTGTCCCTGCTCATGGAGGACGTCCTGAATGGTGGAAGAGAGGCAGAGCCTGTTCGTCTCCATGGCAACAAAGATGACTTTCAGCATAGTGGCACACCTAATGAAGTAGCGACAGTTTCTAACAAGGTCATACCAGTGACGCTTCCACGTTAGGGTTCACACATTAGTGAATAAAATTGTAAGTAAATCACTAAGATTGCTTATTCGGTAACTATTCCTTTTTTTATTGCAGGGAAATAAAAGCTGCAGAGAAGATGATGAAGAAGAGGAGATAAAGATCAATTCCTCAAACCTTCAAGATCCAATCAGAGTCCAGTCTGTGCTGAAAGGTTTTCTCCTGCTGACAAAGCAGCTGGAGGTCTTCAAGGAGAGATGGGCTCTAAGACGTTTAGGCGCCGATGTCTTCAGTACACCTGCTTTGTATCAACAGTTTGTAAAACTTTACCGGTAATTAAAGAATATCAAAAATCAGGCACTCAAATAATGTTATTTACTCATATCAGAAAATAATTGTTTTTGTGACAACAAAGTTAATGTTGTTTTAGGATAATGTAAGGTATGCTTAGGTCTTTCTAATTCAATCATTGTTTTACAGCAATTATTCACTTTGTTTTTAGAGATGAAATCTTTTACCCCAGTATGAGAGCTCTGGCTAAACAAATGGATAAAGAGCATCACTATGAGGTTTTAATCTCTGGCACCCAGTCTCTTCTGCCCCCTCCTGGAGCTTCAGAGGTTGATGTGAAAGCCTGGCAGGTACAAGCACAATGAAAACTGCACAATTAAATCATCATGTCATGATAACAAGAACTTGTAGTGCTGCAAAATCTACTTTTTCCAGCTCCACCTGCTGATGGAGAGCACAGAGTGCGACATGATTAGAGCAGTGCAGAGAAAGATGAGCAGAGAGCTCACACTAGTGCTTTCAGAGAAAACTCAACAAGATAATCGGCTCCCCACAGGTGCGCATAAACACCACTGAATCTACCTTTAAATACCCATTCAAAATATTTTTACTATTAACTATATGATTGTAGTTACATAATGTTTCCACATGTAAGCAGAGCTGTGGAAAAGAAGTCAAATGAAGTACAGTTTGTCCCGTGAGAAGCCACAGATGGTGGAAACGTTCATCCAACAGCTGATGCAGGGAGCTGAGCAGTCGGAGGGAGAGGTAGGGAAAATACCCACTGATGCTTTGTTCTCCCCTAAAGTCTTTTAATAATGTGCTGCTACTGTTGACAGGCTTCTGATTACTGTGTAGGATCTCTGCTGAAAAAGAAACTCAAACCTGTGTAGTTTATCTACTTACATTCATTGTTATTTCAAATGTGGGCTTTATAATGCTCTTAAAACCCTGCTCTGCTAAGGCATGCCTTCAAAAACACACTACATACCTTAAATGCTTGCTCTACAAAGGCTGCCATTTCTCCTGAGCTGATTATACAAGCTGGTTGCACTCCAGCGCTATCATTATCATTTCTAACAGCCCCAAGTACACAAAGTATTTGGAAAAACATGCAAAAAACTGCTGCTTATTCCTATCATTTCCAGTGCACAGGAGGAAAGTGAAGTTGTTTAGTTAACTGCTTTCCTGTCCATAAGAAGAGGAGAAAGGAGTGGGAACATGCTCAGTTAATTATGCAAACATGTGGGACAGGGAACATGAGGTGTTGCTTGGTATCAGCTTTAGGTAGACGTTTTATTTGACAGGTGTTTGAGAAATTATGTCTTATTTTAGAAAGAGAAGGTAATCAGTCCATTTCCACCAGGATTCTTCTTCCTCGAGAGTCTGCAAAATAAAGGTGGCAATCACGTTTCCCACAGAGGGTATGTGGAGTAATGTACAAACTCTTCTTAAAAAGTTAAAAATTAAGGGGAAGTTTTCTCTAAAAGCAACATTTTTACATGCAACTAAATGTTTACAAGCTGCTGTTGTGACCAGTAATGTCTTCACACTTGAGGTAATGAATGCTATGGTTATTCAGGTCTTTTTATTGATTTCTTTGAACTGTTCCTACAGCAGTTATAAGTGGTGTTGAAGGCTCTTCAATAGCTTTTAACTTCACAACATGTAAACTTCTCATCAGTGATGACAGACGTGACAATGATTGAGCTATTTGTACGGTGGCCCTGAGAGGCCAAATGGACTGCAACTTAAGAAAACCAGCAATAAGAAAAACGCTGCAAAAGCGCACAAAACACAACAGAAATAGGGAAAAACTGAAATAGGAAAAAAGAAAACAGATTTCTAAAAGCACAAAGGAAGTGTGGAAGTTTCTGGGGAGACAATAACCCAACGAACCAGTTGCAGGAACCCAAAACATGCTAGGTGTGTTTTATCATGATTCATATAATACTGATGATGGATTTTTAGGCTAATAGTTAGGCTAACACACTTACCTGTCATCCTTTCTTTCCTCACAAAAGCGATAGATCCTCCACTTCTTTTAGGTGTCTCCCAGCGCAACACTTTTTCCTATTTCCGTTGTGTTTTGCATGCTTTTGCAGCGTTTTTCTTATTGCTGGTGTTTTCTTAAGTTGCAGTCCATTTGGCCTCTCAGGGCCACCATATATTTGGCCTAAATGACAAGAGATGTGTTTGTAGGAATGATTGTGATGCTTTCTAACCTAAGAACACAGTGCCAGCTGTCCAGCACGGTGGTGGTAGCATCATGGTCTGGGGGCTGTTTTGCTTCCAGTGGTACTGCTACATCACACAAAGTGGATGCAATAATGAAGGAAGAGGGCTAACTCCAAATTCTTCAACTATTGAAAACTTATGGTAAAATGGTAAATGGCTTGTATTTGTGTAGCGCTTTTACTCATGGGCTGCGCCAGGTCCAACAAATTTAAATGAACTCTACCAAGAGAGGTGGTCAAATACACAAATACAACAATTACACCAGAAACTCATCGATGGCTTCTAAAAGTGTCTGGTTGAAGTGTAACTTTGCTAAATGACATTTCACCAAATATCAGTGGGGGTCTCTGTATATATTTGACTCTGTATGGATAAAGAAACCCCTTCTTGTTTTTATGCTCTACAATAATTCTACCCTGGAAAAAGAGCAGTTGAAAGACATCATTAAAAGCCTAAAATTACGATGACATTAATTTCCTTCTGACTACTCTTGTAAGTATCTCTTTCACATGTGTTGTGTGAAGAAATGCCAACACATAGAGAATATAACAGTGCAGCTTGTTGACTATTAAAACTTATATCCCAAAGAATGGGGGGAATAGAGTATTAATGCAAGTTGCTAAACTTTAGATATTCATTAATAATATTCTTGGTTTTCTTTTTTTAGCTGAAGGTCTCTCGGGATCATCTGCAGCAGTGTCTCACTCACCTCGGCTCCTCAGTGATGGAGCGAGAGCGCCAATGCTTTCTGCTTTCTGCTTGTTTGTTAATTAGTTAGTTAGTTTATTTGCTTGTTTTAATCAATTTTAAATCATGCTTTTTATTTGTTCTTGTTTCTAATGTCTCTGTAAAGCACTTTGAATCACCTTGTTGTTGAATTGTGCTATACAAATAAACTTGCCTTGCCTTGCCTTACTCACAGTTTTATGAACAAATCCTGCAGCAGCACACTCAGCTTCTGTACCAGAGAGAGCAGGTACATGTGTGGAATATCTTTTTATCGGAGTAAATATATTATTGGCAGTTTATATTTTTTTTTAAATGAAATCTATTATCTTTCACTATTTTAACTGCAGGATTTGAAGAGTTTGAAGGACGCTCAGACAAGTAATTCTCACAAAGAGGTACACACAGTGATTCCCATCTGTAGCCTCTATGATTTTGTGAGTTAGTAGCAGAAAAGCAGATTTGAGCTGCTTTAGGAATGTAAGTCATGTTTGAGATCGAGAGCTTTCAAAGAAAACTACTTTTGAGCTCCATTAATCCACAGGTGGCAGATTTATGCCGTGGGATGATGTTGGAGGTCTCAGCCCTGCGGGCCCAAGTTGCTCACCTGGAAGAAGAGAAAATTAATTTAGAGGAACAGCTCGGCCTCACATTCAAAGAACGCTACCACCCTCTGGTCCGACACCTTTTCTCTACCTGCATCCAGTTAAAGGTGAAAGAACAAGGCCCCCTGTTAAAGGGCTACAACAAAACTTTCACCCTATGCAAATTCTAGCCTCCGTTTTGAGTTCTTAGCTGGCAGAAGTGACAAAGTGTGACTCTGTAGTTTTCACCAGTTTTGTGTTAGCAAGTAGCTGAAGTGGTGAAAACGACAAAGTGGCTGGTAAGTGTACTGTTTCTTTATAACTAGAATATATACTTGCCCTTTTCATATATCATATTTGAGCAGAAAGTGGGTGAATGACACTTTCTCAGAAGTTTCTCTGTACCATAATAATTTGCTAACATCTGATTGCTGGTGTTCTCCTTATAATATTGTAAGATCTTTACCATGCAATATAATGCACCTTGTTGTGACTGTTGTTGATGCTATAGAAATATAATTGATTGGACAATAACTTTAAATTATGTGGTAAAACGTTGCTTATTCTTTAGTTCTTTATTCCTGAAATACATAAACAAGTGTTATTTTGTCATATCTCACATTTTGATTTGTTAAAGACTTGTTTGGTGATTTTGTTTGGCTTTTAGGCCAGACTTGATGAATATCCCCGACAAATGAGGCGGGACATAAGTGTGATAGTGAACAGAGCACGGGGGGAAGGAGTGGACAAGATCATCAAGCTCAAGAAGAGGTACGGCTGCACCAAAGACAATGATGGACTCGCCCTCACACAGTTAAAGGTACGGAAAGTTTTTATGTGTAGGCAGTTAAAAAGAGCAGAAGTATTGAAGATGATCTGTGAATTGTACCACTTTCATACCTGTTATCTTAAGAAGGAAGAAGTCCACGAGTTGAAGCTGGAGAACAGCCGGCTGACTGCTCTGCTCTGTAAACTGAAGGCTCTGAGATGCTGGAGGAAGGTGGTCGACCAGGAGAAACTTCACAGGCAACTGCTCCAAACCAAGCAGGTTAGCAGCAGGATGAAGAAATATTCAGCAATCAGAAATTAGCTTTACCTCTTGCAGGGAGGGAACATGAGGCCATCAAGTAAAAGGGAAAAGCATGAATATGCTTAGTTGTAGGATTTAAACAAATAATGTAACAATGTTACATGTACTCATGTACTGCAATTTAAAAGTTTAATGTTTTCTTTTGCTTAATCCTCACTAATTTTGTCAGCTTTGCATTATTTTTCTAAGCCCATATTTATACATTTATGAACTCAGTACCACACTGGTCATTTTGCAGAGGGAGGTTACCGCTCGCACCGAGGCTCTCAGAGTGAAAATGTTATCAGAGGATAAGGTGGCTCTCCTGCAGGGGGAGCTGGACTTTGCACAGCAGGTGCTGACCTGCTCTCAGGCCGAATGCAGCAGCATCAAGAAGCAGCTCAGCAGGAAGGTACATGCACTCCTATCCACACCTGCTACATCAGTTAACATCAGCTGAAACTGCAAATACTCTGAAATTCATTAAAACTATGAAATGTTTGGTTTGTATTTCTTAAGCTTGGTGAAGGTGCTGTTGAATGCTTTCAGAAGCAGTGCAGGTTTATTTTAAAATGCCAGGATTTTAAAAGTTAACTACATCTTTTGCCTTGTTGCTGATCCTACAGACACTTACATTATATTGCAGCTTCTCCAGCTTTCTCTTGTTGGCTTTTTTGGATCTCTGAGGACAGGATCACTGCACATGTTGAAGTGTTTAAATCACATTTCGCTCCCATAGACTTCCTAATTCATGTAAAGCTGTGCATTTTCAGTTTTGACAGTGGCAAGAGCTGTCAGGAGAAGAAGCCTGGATATATTCACTGAATGTTTGCTGGTTCTCGCTCACAGACAGAGGAGCTCCAGGTGTTCAGGCATCGGTCTGCACGGGAAGCCCGCAGCAGACAGGAGCTGGACGCTCATCGAGTGCAGACCTTGGAACAAATGAGAGCTGACATGGAGGATAGAGACAGACAGCTCAGGGCCCTCGGTGAGCAGCTGGACAGAGGCAGCAGGATAAACAAGCTACAAAGAGAGCGCAGTGCCAAAGAGATCCGGCAGGTCTGTACGTTAATTAATGTGTTATGCACCACTGATTGCAGGCTGTCTTCTGTGCAAACCCTAAAAAAAATCCACTTTTCATGAGCTAAAAAAAAACCTGTGGTCAGTGGATTTTAAATAGATCATCCGAAGAAATACAATTTAAAAAAAGATGATGGTATTTTAAGTAAATCAACCTCTGAACATCTTAACTGAGAGTCAAATAAAACCAATTAACAGACTATATCTGTAGGTTCTCAGTCTTTCAGGTCATGGTAGTCTTCAGCACTAGTTGGACTTCTTTTCAATTCATGAAGACTTTTCGCTTCATCCAAGAAGCTTCTTCAGTTCCAGTGTAGAGTCCCAGGTGTTTACCCACCATGGAGGTTATGCAGAAAGTCACTGATCCACCCCGCAACCACTTGAGTTATTAATGGTCATATGATCCAAACTGTGAATCAAGGTGTGGTTCTTGATCGCTGGGCAGGCTTGTCAGAAATTACATTTCTAAGAAATTATGATGGAACAACTCAGTATAACATGCAAGTGTATGTCAAATCCAGCAACACCCTTAGAAAAGCACTGGTTCATCCCAAAGGCACAAACACAATCTAAGCAACGTAGTGTGTGCTGCTCAGTGCAGCTCATAACGTTACACGGGAAAACCAGACAACCACTCCAGACTGATGGCTCAGCAGAGAAGAACTCATCAGGACAGACTGTTTTCAGGATGATAATGTTCATACTTTGGCCTGAGAAGCCATCAATGTCCACTCTGAATGACTCTCATTGAAAAGGCACAGTGCCCTCCAAAACCAGCTATCAGAAACCTCAATTAATACCTCCCTCCTGATCTCCTATCTGTAAATGGTAAGTGGAGCGATTCTTATATAGCGCTTTTCTACTCTCCCGGCGTACTCAAAGCGCTGTATACAACATGCCACATTCACCCAATCACACCCATTCTCACAAGCACTGACTCTAAACTGAGTGCTTTTCTAACAACATTCACACACATTCACACTCCGATAGCTGCATCGGAGAGCAACTTGGGGTTAGCTATTTGCTCTTAAAGTTTTTCACTAGCCACAGCCAAAAATCTGGCAAAAATCTGACAGAGTGATGTAGGATAAAAGTCCAGACCTAAATCCAATTGAGATGAATTCATCATTTAAAAAGTGATATTTTTGTATATACTTGGGGTTACCTTTGTCTAATATTAATATAATGCAAATTAAAGGGGTGGCTGTAGCTCAGGAGGTAGAGCAGGTCACCTACTGATCGGCAGGTTGGCGGTTTGATCTCTGGCTCCTCCAGTCTGCATGCCAAGTATCATTGGGCAAGATAAAAAAAAAAGGTTGCTCACAGTTATTTCATGATTTAAAAAGGGGGTAATTATATTTTTCACACAGGGCCAGGTAGCTTTAGATCTCCCCCCCCCCTCCCCCCCGGTTAATTAAATAATCATTTAAAACGTCCTTTTTGTATTTACTCGGGTTATCTGTGTCTAATATTGAAACATGTGTGACAAAAAAAGGGGGGAAAAAAAACAGGAAAGGGACAATTTTTAACAGAACTGTATAATGCAGTCTTGAGATCCCATGTGATTCAACAGTCACACTTTGACCTTAATGGATTGCGTGATGACACGACTCTCAGGACCACCTCCAATGGGACAAATCCACGAGGGGTTGAATACCTGAGTCTCTTCATCAGTTTGCAGAACTGAAGAAGCCTCTTGGATGAGAGGTTAAAGGATTTTTGCAGTGCCTTGGTGCAAAAATCCTGTAGAGATACTTACAGATACAGAGTTAGTCTTGGCCTCATTCTGGTGATAGATCTGTCAAGTCAATATCAATGCACATGGTGTTTTCATTTTAAATTTAAGCAGGAATAAAAAAAACAACAACTTTTAACCACATTGTTGGGGTCCAGGTGAGGGGGCAGCTACAGCAGCAGTGCAGCCTTAAACAAGAGGCCTTTCAGCAGCTGGATAAACTGCAGAACGATGTGGAGGCAGCTCTCCCCAGAGGAGCTTCGACAGCAGGTAAAAGCCTTCCAGGCTCTGCTGATACTCAACAGGATGACAGACCAACAGCTCGCTTTGCCTGTAAGATTTTGTCTGCTTCAGACATTCTTGACTTGACATTTCACTCCTACTTTCTCGGTATCGTTATATCACAGGTCAAAGCAGGACTTATTGCACGCTGTCAGTCAGCAGACTGAGTACTAGAAGTCCCTCGACAGGTACTGAGCCCACCACCTTCATCTCAGAGCAGTGAAGCAATAATGTAAAGCTGCTCATGCGGTTCATGAGTGAAATTGAAAGCCATCAGATTATCCAGACACTCATATCTTTTTGTGATGACATTTTAAATTTCTTTATAGATGTTATTTTCACACTGCAGCATAGCTCTCACTCTGTTCTATTTCTGTGTGCACAGGTCTGCACCGGAACAGGCTGCATTCAGCCCTGCAGCCTGGCAGCCTCACAAACTACACCACACCTCAGGACTTTGCAACAGAGCCAAGACAGCAGAGAGCAGAAACAGCCAGAGGTCTTTCAAACATGAGCACAGTGAGTGAAATAATCATTTAAAAACTTGTTTCATCTCTAATGTAAAAAACAAGAAGGTGGGTGGGGAGATACTTTTTTTTTTACAGCACGGTACATTTTGGAGTTTTAAAGCATATTGAATTCACTGGTGTCCCAACTAATGAAGATTACGTCTACATAATAATAGGACAACTACTAAATGGTGAACGTAAAGCGAGACAGTACATTGCTGGTTTCAAGGTCAAGAATGTGTGAAAATGCTTTTGCGGTCACCCATCTTCAAGGATTCAAGGAGCTTTATTGTCATTCGCATCACAAGTTAACATGAGGTGGAACGAAATTATGCACACACGGTCCTGGAGTGAAAATAATAATAATAATGAAGAAACAGATTTTTTTTTTAAAGGAATAAAATAATAGTTGTTGGTCTTTTGTTTTTTAACAAACAGAATAACAAGTAATAAAATAAGACGATAAGTTGAGTGCAACAACCTGAATACAAGTATGGATATAGAGTGTAGGTATATATGCTTTGGTAGCTGGGTGTCAAAGTCTGGCCCGCGGGCCAAATTTGGCCCGCAGCCTAATTACATTTGGCCCGCGAAGCCATACCAAATTACTATAAGAGCTGGCCTACTGGTATTATACAGCTAATATATATATTGTTTAGTATTAAGCTTTGCTTGTTGCATATTCAGTTTTCTAGCAAAACTTATTTGAGTCCATAAGAAAAGATTCATTCTTATATCTGGAGGAAGATTTTTTTTTTTCAATAAATATTAATGTTAGCCCGCGACTTTGTTCCAGTTTAGAATTTTGGCCCACTGTGTATTTGAGTTTGACACCCCTGCTTTAGCAGGTGTCTTTAAGTGTGAAATTCTGAGCAGCAGGGACTGCCTCTTCACATTAAAGACAATCTGGATCGGTTTCGTCAGACAGGTATAGCAGGGTGCCCAGTTTTATCTCTTAGATGTTCAGCTTGAATCCGCCTTTGTTTCTCTTTCCGGATCTGTGTCGCCTGCGCCTCCCGACAGCTGAGGCTTTGTTCCCAGATCTGTGAGGTGCAGCAATCAGTCACACACACAAACTTGATTAGCAGATTAGCTTGCTGTAGGCTTGCCTGTAGTGTTTTATAGCTCTGTGTGAACTGAATGTTATCTATTCCATTCCCAAAGCTGTGACATGCATGTCTTCCCTTTAACCTACAGCACAGCATCTTGATGTTGCTCCTCTCCATATTTCAGTAACTTTTTAAATATTCAAAATAAATACTTTCAAAGCTCTTAACAAAACCCTTATCACTGATATTTTACTTTCTGGATATTTCTATAATTTGCCTTTATTTTTATCCGTACTTAACTTTTGTCAATTAATAGCATTACATCATGTCTACTTAAGGTTTCTAATACTCATATTAGATATAGACCAATTTGAGCTTATTGCAAATTTATCAAAGGAATCATGTCAAAGTTCATTTTTCAGTTGTAGAATGAGTTTGGTCACATCTTATGAAATAAAACCAAATGATGACGTTTTTAAGTGGGCAAAAACAAAAACCTGTTTTGTCATAAGCGCTAAAAAAATCATTAAAATAGTAACTGTTTAGCATCTGTTGCATAGTAACTGTCTTCTGTTCAGACTGTACATAAAAGGTGGAGATAGCCATGTTTATATCAACCATTTGATTGTGAACAAACCTTTTAAAGACTCGAATTGAGCGTTTTGGAAGTGAAGATCTTGGAACCAGCCATACCTGCAAAAGCTACCCGCTTTATTATCACCAATTTTACAGTAATTAATAAATTAAATACCAATAAATACAAATTCACGTTTAAGACACTTTTCACTTTTCAAACCTGGAAACTGAAAAATATCACATTTGTTTGTTTGGGAGTTCCTCCATTATGGCTCCTGATATTCCTGCCTTTCGTGTCATGGACTGAGATCTAAGTGCTGCATCCAGCTGATGTCCTCCAAGGCCTCAAGGGTTTTCACACATGGCCACTAACAACATGTCATTAACTTCAGCATCATTTTGGGTGTTTGACAATCACGCTGATGATGTACGATCAACTGTCGCTGTATTCCCCAGCTGGATGATAAAAGGCTCTTTGTGACTGCTTTTGGCGAGTAAGATAGTGCTGCATTCGAATGGAAGTGACAGATTTGTCTACAGACACATGCCAGTAAAAGTGGCGCCCTTTGACACATGATTGCTGCAGCACTGAAGCAAACTTCTACTTTGAAGTCGAACCTTCTCCTTTTCTGGTTTGTGTCCGACTTTATCATGATGTACTATCAGTTGGCCAGTAGCTTTCAAGTATTTGCCATCAGACATGAAAAACTCCAGGTAACCATGGCAATCTGCTTGCAACCAAAGCAATAACCAGAAGGTTTTTGGTTCAACATCTTTGTGTCTGGGGGCTCTTTGGATCACTCATATCAATCTCAGACACCTGTCGTAATTAGTTAACCAGGTGAGGCCAATTAAAGGAAAACTATACTTAAGACAGATGTTCCACATTATTAATCATGCCACAGTTTTTAAGCAATATGGCAAAGAACAAGGATCTGCTGCAGAAAAGTGTCAAACAGTGCAATACCTTGGGCAAGGTATGAAAGATATTAGATATTTCACACACAAAGTGTGATCATTGTGCTGCGCAGAAATTTGTGGCACAGATAAAAAATTCATTAAAGAAAATACAAACTTCCTCTTTTAATACTGCTACCTTTGACTATGGTCAGTTTTGTCTGTATATAGTTGATCTCCACAGTAGCACCATCAGATTTAAGTTCCCGGTGGTCCAGATCACTCTCAGCTCTCCTGTGGCAGTCCGGTGGTGTACAGGTAGGACACAGTTCCTGATTGGATCTGAAATGTCTGTCCTTGGATGTGATGGTTGGAGATCTGCTCGCTAGTCTGACTGATGGAGATCGGTTGGCTGCTCTGGCTGCTGACGTGAATAGCCCGGCCTTGTTGTTGTTCCCTGCTCACCTGCCCCTCCGAGGGCTCCTGAGCAACAGGCAGCTGCTGGATTGGCTGATGCATCACCTGCAGCTGTTGAATGGGACGCTGTGTTATTTGAAAGGGCTGCGCAGGACCGTGATGGGCCTGCAGCTGCTCCATAGCCTCTTTACTCAAAGTGATAACATGCATCTGCTCAGCCTGGTGCATCATCTGACCCTGCAGCATACTGATAGTGTGGATCTGAGAGGTCTGATCCACCACATCACCCTGAGTGACCAACGCCACATTGTGCACGTGCCCCGATGGCCGGGCGAGGAGGGTGAGTTTAGAGGGGGCTGACTGAGCCATCTCTCCCTCTGTGCTGATGAGGCTGATCTCGTGGTCCTGACCCGGGATAAAGTTAATGTGGTCCACATCCTCTGTCACCACCACCTGGAGCTCCTGTTCAGAGGTGGCAGGCAGCTGGTACTGCTGCAGGTGAAGGATATTTTGCACCTCTTCCTGCGGGGCTCCAGAGCCATCTTTTGCTGCAGTATCCGATGAGGCCTCTCCACCCGCAGCTCTCTCCTTGTTGTGGGATTTGGTGTGTGTTTTCAGATTGTCCAGGCGTGTAAAAGAAAGGCTGCAGAAGGAGCAGGTGAAGGGTTTCTTCCCCGAGTGGGAGGCAACATGTCGTCGTCTTGCACTGGGGTCTGAAAAGGACTTCTTGCAGATGCTGCAGTTATAAGGCTTCTCACCTCTGCAAAACCAGATATTTCGGCAGTTATGACCACGTCTCCTCCTGGGTCATATATTATACAGCAGGGAGCAAAAACTGTTAAAGGTGGAGTGAAAATCAAATATAACAGCTGACCTGTGGATTCTGATGTGAGTCTGCAGTGTGCTCTTGGCTGTGAAACATTTTCCACAGATTTCACAAGTGAAAGGCTTCTCACCTGTGTAAACGTTAACACCATCAGCTGCTGCAGCACACGCTTCCATAAAGCAGATATCAATAGCAAAAGAATGACTTGGAGAGCTGATCTTACCTGTATGAGTTCTCACATGCTTTTTCAGTTGAGCTGCATCCATAAACTTGTGATGACACTGAGCACATTCTGGCAATGATTTCCCTTTATTTAAAAATAAAGATTCAATGATTTTACCTTCAGATTGATTGAATACACTGACCAGATCTCTGGCAGTTTCCCCATGACTTACCTGTGTGAACTCTGTAATGGCTTTTAAGTTGCCTTTTCTGAGTGAAGGTCTTTCCACATTTATCACAGTCAAAGGATTTCTCTTCTAAAGAAGCAAATAAAACAGAGCTCATGAGAGATCAACATCACAATATGCTAGAGCACTTCGGCTTTAGTGCCATTAAGAGAAGGAAGTCCTCTCTACAGCCAATATCCATCCAAAACTAGGCAACTCACACCAAATTAAGCTAGGTAAATCAAAAGCACAGGCAAGACACAAAATGTGGGCATTTGATTTTTGGGCACATTTAAAAGAGTTGTAGTAAACTGAAAATCCTTCCGGTTTTCCTAGCCAGAGAAACAAAACGCCTTAATTCTTCTTAGAACATCTTTTTACCCCTTAGTTGTAAAAAGCTTTTCCCCTACATTTCTTCATTTATGTTAAAGAAGGCATGTATTTACTGGGCCCAAGTGTATCTAATAGAAGTAAAATGTAGTATTTCATTATATTATAATAACACATGAGATCCCAATCTCATTCCCCCTGTGACTTTTGCATACAGCACAGTTATTGCCACTGTGCATTTTTAGGGGCTAAATATGTTAGCTGTGTTGCTTTGCAATGAAGACAACTATACAGCACCGTTTGCATAAGATTTGTTCCTGGTTTACATCCTTTGCACTGAATCGAAAGTATTTTCAAACGGTGGATAACGATCCATTTCTAGGAATCAAGTCCAGACACTGGAATGTGGTTTGATGGTCTGTTATCTGTTCTATATCTGCTTGTTCGTGTAGTGTTAATCTTTTGGGCTACATCCAGGACTTCAATCTGCACAATGCAGTGAACAGCTCGTCAGACGGTGCTTTAAGGAGTGCCTGATTTACTTTGGCTTTGCATTCTATTGGTGAAACATAGCCTTTCAGTACCGGCTGAATGTGTTCATTTCTTTTTACCTTACAATATAAAGCGCCTTGAGGCGTTATATAGATAAAGTTTAAACGAAGTAGCCAATCAGAAGAAAAAGCTGGTGAGGAGGGTCGTATGCCATCCTGAAAGCTACTCTGTTCGAATTTAAAAAAAAATACAGCTGAAACTAAGAATAGTAGGTCTGACGTAATCACTGCAACAACTAACACTTTCTACATTTCTCAAATCAGACTGTAGATCAACTTTGTTGGAAAGATCACTTTCAGGAAATTATGAGGATTCCTGGAAATTACTTGTAAACAAAGTTACTACTTATCAAACATGAGAAACTGAGAAGTCAGTTCATTGGGTCCTACCTTCATGGAGGTTCATGTGCTCTTGCAGGGAGTGTTTGGTGGAAAGCGCTTTGGAGCAGACGGTACAAACAAATGGCTTTTCTCCAGTGTGCATGCGCTGGTGAGCCAGCAGAGTGTGCTTCTGGGTAAAACTCTTCACGCACACCATGCAGTGGAAAGGCTTCTCACCTGGAGTTAAAGAAAGTAGTTGTACTTTTACAGGTGCAGATGCGATTAGTGACTGCTAAACTCTCGTCAGTCGTAGTCATCTGTACTTTCTATGCGTTTCTATTTTTGATTTTATTTTATTTTTTTCAGCACAACATTTGAAAAGTTAAAACATTTATTTTTATTACAGTTGAGGGAATGAAGTCCTTTTTTTAAACGATGTCCAAAAACTCTAGAAAAAAGGCCAAATTTGTATTAAACCTCCATTCTGACCTCTTTAAATCAGAGTGTAATTACCTGTATGAGTGCGCTGATGAATCTTTAAAAACAGGTGGCTTTTAAAGACTTTTCCACAGTCCTCACATCGTGCCTCAGTGTCAGGGTATTTCCTTTTCCTGCCCCTCTTCCCAGGCTCCTTGTGTCCTGCTGTGTTATTGCCCACTTTGTAGCCCTTATATTTTACCGGTGGGTTGATTTTGCGTTTGCTCTGCCGGCTTTGGTGTTCTTCAGGGTCCTCATTTCTAGGCTGAGACTCAGTTTTTGGATTATCTTCTGCCTGTCGGTCCTCTGAGCTCTCACATGGTTCTCTTCTCCCCACCAGCTCTGTCACAGGTGCACCTACATCTTTCCTCGGCCGCCCTCTTTTGCGCTTCACCAGCTCTGCATCTTCAGCTTTGTTTGCTTGAGCATCATTGCATTTGACCCCTGCTGCAGAGCGAGTTAGGTCAGTGAGCACTTTGACAAGGTCACCGACTTCCATTCGATGAGCTGTGGCCAGGAGCTGCTCTGTGGCGCTCTCCTCCACAGACACCTGGGCGCTGTAGATGAACTCCAGCACTGCTGCAAACATGTTTGGTGCCATACCGTCCAGCTGGTGGGTGGACCGATGGATCTGATCTTCCGCTGTGAACATGACGGAGAAGTACTCACTGCTTGCTGCCAGCAGGGCTTTGTGGGCCTTGAAGTGCACATCCTCCACGACAAGAGTAATGTCACACAGCAGGTCACTTTTCCTGAGCTTGTTGAATTTGCTCAGGATGCTCTGTTTATGTGACTCTGAATGAAGGTGAGCCATAAGCGATGAAGGTGGACTTGTTGATTTTTGAGACATCTTTGCCGCAAAAACAACCACATCTGTCCTTTAAATGAATAATGAGAACATATGAAAACAAAATGAGTGTACAGTTAGTTTAAAAGTTTATATGAACTCATCATGGGCATGAAGGTCATGTGATTTTGGGCTTTTAAAGAAGACATTTATGCCCATTATGATACGAATATATGTAAACTTCTGACCTCAGCAGTATATATGTTTGGCTTATATCAGAGGTACAGTGCGTTTTTTAAATATATGATCTTTTTCGTATTACCACTGCTATTACTACTTACTCATACATGACCAGAGGAATCTACATTATCCGTTTATCCATTAGTAAATGTTCAGTCTGTACTGAACATTTACAAATATTAATAACAAATATTAATAACAAGTTTCTCAGGAATTTGTCACATTTAGGAGACCAGACATGGTTGGACTGTCCAAATACGAGTCTGTCATGTAAGCATACATTTGGTATTATAGATTTAGAATGAATTTGTATTACAGAGCTGATTAATCTGTAGTGATCAGTCCTGCTAAACTAACAAAAATATTCTTCATATTACAATAAAATAAATAATAGAAGTATAATAAAAAACTAATGTTGGTCGTTGTTTAGTTTATCCTCATGTTTTCAAAATCAAAATTGAACCCATACCGGTATTTACATTCACCTCATACATTAACTTACAGATAATATTTTGCACTGTTCATCACGTTCATGCAGAGTTCACTGACATTCAGCTTAAATAATGTTTACAGACGAATGGATGTTAGCAAGCAAGCTAATTGTCTCAAAGCAAACAATGCACCGCCGCTGTCTAGAAAGGGGGGCACGAGAAGCAGAAATGGCGAAGAATGCGACCGAAATAATGCTTTCAAAAGAAGTTAACTAATAATTTTCGGTCTGGTGACAGGACTTGGACGTATAAACTGCGGTTTAATTTGAAGTAGTCAGCTTTTAGGACCTTACCTTCGCTCGCTGGACGGACCAGAGCGTGATATGAGCCACCTATCGCGAGATGTGAGGTTCTGACGAGATCCACGCCGAGCCACCACTCTTGGCCACTGAGGGTCGTACTTTTCCCCGTCGATCAACCCTTTCTTCTCGGTTAATAAAGGTTTGTTTAAATTGGTAAATAGGTGGCATTATGGGAACTTATTTTATTTTAATAACTCAGTGGGACTTTTAAAATAACAAACTATCATAGCTAATGAAATTTGATTCAGGAAGTGCACGTTCCCGAGAGAAAAACAAAACACACAGCACCTGTTGTCGGTCTCTGGGGACATTTTCTGTGCGGGGGAAGAAGGAGACAGTTTTATTTTAGGTGGGTGGATACATTTGCATTGTCGAGCTTTGTGTGTATAAGGCTTATTTATCTGTATAGACATTTTCGATACCTTACAACGCACTGCCACGTGCTTTATTTCATTAGTTGTTAGTTTGCACTCTGGAGAGCCATACAAAGTTGCGCATTCAAGCAATGGCTATATTTAATATCCACACACTTTGACAGAACTGTGCTGCTATATTTGTTGCGATTTCTGCTCTTCTCGGGTAGGTCTAGGGTTTTTTTTTAATGTCAATGGGACTTTGTTTTTAAAGTGAGCCATACAACATGTATTTAGTTTAGATTATACTTCCATATTAAGCGAACTTTCTTCTAATAATTTTTTTTCAAAAGAAATAGTTTTTATTTTGAAATGCATAACGAAAATAGAATATATTTTCCAACATCATATCAGCTATATTTCACTAATGTCTAAGGTATTCGTACCTTTCCAACAAAGCAGTTGGGAGTGGATTTTTGTATGGTTGCTGTTACAACCGGCTAGAACTTACAGCTAGATATATAACTGAATTATTGTGTGATAATTCTAAGAAAAACACAGATGATTCATTTAATAAATATACTTCCACAATCTGCAGCAATAACTAGAATACACATTTATGCATTGTGAAAAAGAAATTAATGAGGAGAGCCTGTTAACTGAAGTTTGGCTGGTGGACCCCCTTTTCATTCCACCGTCAATTCATCAATTCCCTCCAAACCTTTCTGGGGAGAACAACCCCCCCTTTAGCCATTTCTGTGCCTTTATCCTCAGCTTCCTGTTCCACCCTGACCCGCTGTGTCTGTGCAGAGGGCAAGTCTGCAAGTAGTACTTTAAATGGTGAATTTGGAACTTTTCAGACCCCAGAAAAGCACACACATGTATCTCTTATGTGACAATGCAGTAATTAAAACATTGTGTAATTATATATATTGTTCACTATTTGGCTGTTCATCTTCAAGAGCTTTAGTCATAGAAATGTATCATAATTAGTATCAGTAATACTAATCAGTAATCCTTAATACACTCTAAGAAATGTCAGGGTGTTTGAGAGCCTGTGAGAAAGAGAGCTCTGTTTTGTAAGAGCTGCTTTTTATTTATTTGTAAAAGGCAGGATTGAGGCACCGTGAGTTTTTGAGGTCTCCTAAGGCAACATTAACAACAAAGTCTTTGAAACAAACACTAAATAATGAAATTAAGAAAATGATTTTGCAACTTCTTGTGAAGTTCTTCATGCTCGCTAGAAGTGAAAGTCTCAGGTTCAGCAGAGGACATTGCTGCACATACAGGGTGCTTTGTTCTTGTATATAACCCTAAAAGGACAATCAGAACTGTTATATTTTAAAGAGCTACAGCAAATGCAAGACTTGGACATTTGGTTCACCAGTAGCCTTTGTTTTATGGATAACTGCATGTACACTGCTCTTACAATGACTGTTTCGTAATGGACAATTTGAAACGCGTGGAATAAGATAAGGGTTTTGTGTGATTGAACCTTGGACTAGGGTGTCAGTTAAGATGTTGTGATAATGATGTAACATGTTTATACCCGCAAGTCGTTGAGTAACTTTTAAAAGAGAGTCATAACAAAGGTTATTTGGCATTTAGTAAAAATTCTCTTGTCGTTTGAGGCGCAGAGCTGCCATGATGAAAAGCGTCAGGGTTGTGGTTGTTGGAGCTGGCGTGATTGGATTCTCCACTGCTGTGTGCATTGTTGAAGCTCTACCTTTCTGCTCTGTTACTTTGATGGCTGACAAATTTAGCCCGGACACAACAAGTGACGGAGCTGCTGGGATTTTGTTTGCTGCACAATTTCCAGGTAAGAAAGCAGGATCTGTCTCAGAGATTTACACTACAGCTGCACCACATTATGCAATGTATATAAAAATAAAAACGCAGTGCACATTTGCTTTACATGATGCCTTTCTCCATCAGATATTCCCTTGCAAAGACAAAGATGCTGGTTCAAGGACAGCTTTGATCACCTGTTGGCCATTACTCAGTCTCAATGTGCACCAGAAGCTGGAGTAATGCTGAGCTCTGGGTAGCAATTACTTGTATACGATGCTGTAAAAGTTGAGTACTTAGCCCGATCCATTGTCGAACAACTGATTTCTCTACTAATTTCTTGCAGCTGGCAAATTTTTAAAGAGGTTCCAGCAGTTAAAAAACCATTCTGGTCAGAGTTTGTGATCGGCTTTCGACTCATGACTGATGTTGAACTGAAACGCTTCCCAGATCACAAGTTTGGTCAGGCTTTCACCACCTTAAAATGCGAATGCTCCACCTACCTGCCATGGCTCGAGAAGAGGTTCATCCCCTACATTAAACTTCTTTTATCACGTCATACTATTATATCCACAAGCTTTTAATTACAAATGAACTCTACTTAATTTAAAGTTCGTTATGTTAACATCATAAATTCTTCTCTAAAGGTTCAGAAAAGCTGGAGGTCAAGTGGAACAGAGGAAAGTCAACAATCTTCAAGAATTGAGTAACAGCTTTGATATCATTGTCAACTGCTCCGGTCTCGGCTCCAAAGTATTGGTGGGAGACACACAAGTGTACCCAGTCAGAGGCCAGGTCCTCAAAGTGGAGGCCCCCTGGGTGCAGCACTTCATTAGAGATGGAGATGGGACGACGTACATCTACCCCGGCATACGCAGTGTCACTATAGGTGGGACGAGGCAAGAAGGAGACTGGCGGCTGCAGGTGGACGACAGAGACACTAAGGGCATCCTGGAGCGCTGCAGTAGGTTGGAGCCGTCACTCAACAAAGCCAAAATTCTTAGTGAGTGGGTCGGCCTGAGGCCCAGCAGGAAGAACCCAAGGGTGGAGAGGGAAGTGGTGGAGCTGCAGGGCCGGCCGGTGCCTGTGGTCCACAACTATGGCCACGGGGGTTGGGGAGTTACCCTCGCCTGGGGTACTGCTCTGGACACACTGGGGCTGGTCAAACAGTCCCTTTGTGAAATGGCCCCACAGCCTAAACTGTGAACACATTCTACATCCCACTTCTACTCAGGGCTACTAACACAACCTAAGCTAAGCACAGACAGAACACTTAGTAGATTTAGAGTAGATTTTACATAAAAAAAGACTAAGAAACATGATTTATGGAAATATAATTATTTAATAATTTAATTTAACAGTGGTGGAGTTTTAATTTAACTAATTGTTAATAAGTTTTCAGGATATTACATCATTATCATCATTGCATCTTTCTGTAACAGTACTGTAAAAACATCAGATTTAAGAAAAAGCATTTACTGTTGTTATTTTTATGCTTATAATACATAAGAACATTTTCTGTATCACTATTTCAGTGGCGATAATGTTTTTGCATTGTCTGGAAACATTCATTTTGTTATCATAAAAGCTGATTGCCTGTTAATAATTTTAGGTTCCTTTCACAGCAGATGTTTTGATTGGGGTGTTCCTAATATAAACATTGTCAATAAACCCTGAAAAAGAAACTGCTTATTGCTTTTCTAGTTTGCGCCCGTACTTTGCCATCTGGGGCAAAATTGTCTGTATAGGCCAGCTGTCATTATATTCTATACTTATATACACACAAACACACACACACACACACACACACACCCCAACAACAACAAAACACTCAGTTCATATCAACAGTTTGAAAACGTTCCATTACAGTGAACCCAGAAGGAGTAAATTATTCATGAATGCTTTGTGTTGGAAAATGACAACTCTGAGCGAGCGCTGCTGCTTGTGTAACTGTTGGACTCTGCACAGCTCCACTGCAGAGACTAACCAGATTCAGCTGAATGGAGATCACTAAAACTGTGACCGAGGGGGTCAGTAGCTACATGAATGTGGTTTAACAGCGTAAGCACAGACCTACATGTTACCACTTTAGATGCCAAGTTTACACTTATATTTTCTTTGAAAACCTGTGGTTAGATTTTCAGAATTTCCATTTAGCTGAAAACCAGAAATCAACAGCTTTAAAGTCACACCTTTCGGTACTGCACTTACTGTACAGACCTTGTTAGAAACCGGCTCCACCGCCAGATTTACTTCTAAGTTCTTTTCGTTTCAGCCGACAAGCTTCAGAAGTGGCTGAAACTGAAGCACCCTTCCTTTCTCCTAGAAAGATGTGCTCTCTGTCGGGCATTACTGTCGGTAAGGGCTCTCGCTCTGGGTTTAATAAGGAAGGTGTAGCTACATGGTCGCTGGACTTTTTGGGTGGAGCTGTGGGTGGCGGCTCTGGGTGTGCCTGCTGTGTTGCTGTGCTGGTACATGCAGCAGTGCAGGATGTCCTACATAAAGCGTGGGAGGATGGACGCACGACTGTCAGTGGGTTTTTTGTGCTCTTTATGTACAGATTTAAGTCTTTAGGGCGGAGGAGGAGTCTTCTCTTTTGATCTTTGTGGAGAATCGTCAGGGAGAAGCAGCGGCGTAGCGGAGTCTGTGCTGCGTTTCTTCTTAGCTCCATGCAGCTGTGGCTCCTAGCAAACGATCTGCTCTGAATACAACCTTTTATTGAGCTCAAACCGCGCTTTGGGAGGTTAGGATGGACATGGGGGAAGCATCTGGGTTTACTGTGGGATGAAGACTTGCTGGACTGGATGGAGGCGAGGGGCAGGGGGAGGACAGGGTACTCTGGGGATGGGAGGTGGCTGGACTCAAAGCCAGATGAAGATCTGCTGATGGTCGAGCGTGTCTTTTTGCCCCTTCCTGAAATAAACAAGTGGAGTGTGCGCAGATCATACAGCTGCCAGGCAGTTGTGACATGTATCTGGGTTAAACACAACAGCAGCAGAGCAGGGAGTCTTGGAAAGTGTCTACTTTGAAATGACACCAAAGAGAAAAAAGTCAAAACAAGCAGCTAAATGTGCACTAAAATGAACGATGGGTAAAAGAAAAGCAGCAAGCAGTCAGTTGTGGTAAAGCATGGAGCGATTTATTCCTCACACTCAACCACGACAGAAGCACACTTCAGAAAATGCTGAGACTTCAGGGCCCAAACATGCCACACTTCAATGAGAAGTTGGTTAAACATTTTAAAGTAGCCCTAAGCCCTCTGCATTTTTGTGCATTTACAATGATACAAAATGCCTTATTTTAAACACTTACACTGTTAAGTAAATATTTTAATTCTGCTGCAATATGCAGTCTTCAGGCACGTGATAAAATATTGTGCAACATTAGGTTTTACTGGACTAAAAAAAAAAAAATACACACACAAACATCAGAATCTTAAAGGAAATACACTTTAAGGTGAGGCTGATCTGACATCTTAGTCCAATCACGTAACATTCAGAAAGCACAGCTCTTTGCATTTCGACAGTTTGTAGACTTAAGTCTAAAGAGAAAACCACTGTAAGCATGATACAGCTGTGAATAAAGCGAGCACTTACTGCAAAAATGTACTGTTTTTAATGTAAGTAGACCTAAAGCTTGTTTAAACACTCATCACACAACAGCCACCACTTTCAGCAAATGCAAAAACCACCACACAAGTCAACACTGCGGATCTATTTGTAGATCTGCAAGCTGCTCTGCACGCAGCTTCTTCCAAGGCCTGAAAAATGTCACTGCTCAGCTCAACATCAAGTAAATTTGCTAGTCCCTTGTTACCTGTCCTCTGTATTATGTTGAGAAGGCAAGTGATGCCAACTTTCAGAAGCACTGAACAGACACGTGACCGCAAAACAGTTTGATTCAGTGATGCAGAAACAGAAAAAAGCATGACGATGCTTGAGGGAAGAAAAACAAACAAACATGAAGCGCTAGAAGTAAATACGACGACAGCAGAGTCTTTCCAGAAGAGCATGGAAACGGAATCTGGTGGATTGGAATGCTTGAGCTGGAGAGTCTTTCTAGACAGGGATGAGGCAGAGGAGGGCTGAAGAAGCGTACAGTGTTCACAGGCGGGTCAGGCTGTCATTACCGTTCTCCAGGTTCTCATTACTCTCGTAGCAGCCAGAGTCTCGCGGGGAGTCTCCCAAGAGGCCACGCCTGTCCGGCAGCAGCTTCTCCTGTGAGCTTTCAGACTGACCGCTTCGCTCTGGGTCGCTGCTTCCTGCAATGCACAACGCCGCCACCAGGGGCATGACAGTCAAAAGAAAGTCGTGCAAAACTGTGATTTCCAAGTCTAAACATGCATTCTTTCCGATGGCCAGCAGGGGGCAACTACTCAGACTTTGTTAGAAGAAAAAATGCCCCTCAGTCTCTTTACTTTGTGACCTCAAACAATTTCCCGATGTTATGATCCCAGTTGCTAGTTTCAAGCCATACATGAATTAAATGGTAACATTTTGCAAATTACTGTGGCTATTTGAGTTAAAGAGGATTATGCAGGATTTGTTCATTTATTCTTCAAAATTTAACTATTAAACCATGAGATGCAGCAACAACAGAAAAAATGTCTACAGAAGCTGAAACCAAACTCGGACTGTGTGTCTACTGCAGACAGTATTTAGATACCGATCTGTACATCTAAACCCTCAAATATTCTAATTTGAAATGTGGCCCTTGGATTGAGGACGTTTCTATGATAGAGCGAGACTTTCTATTGTTTGTCTGACCCACCATCATATTCTTGCAGCAGCTCCACAGCGGTGAGCAACACGGCTCTGTGTTGCGAGTCTGTGATGTTGAGTTCGTCCAGGTCCTCCTCCTCTAGCAACTTAAATGTGTCTAGATCCTCGTAACCGTTAAAAAGAAAGGTGGGCAGGTGCTCCTGTAGAAAGGCGTTAATAAAAGGTGCACAAACAGATCCATTAAAATATGTAAGAGGGATGCCATTTGAGCATGCACGTCTTGCAAAACAAATATGAAGTTAGCTTAATTTAAAAATTTCCCAACACAGATGAAAATGAAAAATTATCTATTTAAGCTACAGGTAAAATTTGTAAGTTTGACATTTTAGAAAATACTCCTATTGGCCTGCTGTGAGTAAGGTGAAGCTTAAGACTGAGAGGAGAGGGAAGCATCATACAAAATAAAGGCAAATCTCACTAACATGTTAAAACTCTTAATATATAACTATCACTTATATACTTACATATAACTAGTTGCTTTTGCACTTTATTTCCCCATTGATTTAACAAACAGTATGTAACACCTTACTAGTGAGGAGGTGGGGGAATAATATTAGTCTGTACAGATTTGAAGGTGGTTGCTGTTATCAACTCTCAAAAAGAAAGCAAGTAAGTGTACTTCCCCTGAATGTCAAACTGTTCCTCTAAATAGAGCTAAAGCCAATCACATGCAAGTATTTTAGTCACTGCTTTTAATCACAAATGTACGCCTTTCTTTACTTTGAGGTTGATGCGATCAAGCAGTTCCTCCACAGAGGAGGGTTTGGGTTGCCGGGCCTTTCTCCTCCTGCGTGTTTTCTTGGGCTTCACCTCCTCTTCGTTCAGAACATCCACATAAATGAACTTGAAGGTTCCGACTTTACCGTTGAGCATCCCCATCCACGTACCCATCGGAGGCTTACTAATGATTTCGATGGTGTCTCCGCTCTGCGAATCGAGATAAGCTGAGCTTGAGTTTTTTTGTTTTTCAGTACGAGCTCATATCCAAGTAGTGAGCAATATAACATAGCCTACCTTCAGCTTTAGGGAGTCGGTGTCATAGGGACTTGGAGTGAAATCTGTGTGAACCAGAGCACGTCCACAGAAGGGTCCACGGTAAGGCAGCTCGTCTTCCTCTCCGTCCTCAGACTTCACACTCTCTCTGTTGCTGTTGGAGGAGTCGGTGGTGCCCACCGTCTGACCACCTGCACGAATCAGAAAAGAAGATGTCACATCAAGACCACAAGTTATCATGGGTCTGTTAGTATCTGACAAATATTATAAATGTTCTTCTTTACTTGAGGAGTTAGTTTTTTGTTTGTTTTTTTTAACCACAGATGAATACAGCGAGATCAGAATGTTTAGACTACTTCAAAAGCGATAAACATCAAGTTTAAACAAATACTAACAGTTATTAAAATATACGCGACACACAGACATACTCATGGAACTCTGTCCGCTGAGAGAACTCCTCAGGCTTTCCACGGACCCTCCTGGCTTCAGTTTGGGCTTCTCCAAAGAGTCCGAGTCTATCTGAGGCGAGTGAGGGCAGCTG